GTTGGTGGATATATTTTATTTTAAATATCAATATATTAGTAATTGACAATTATTGTCACATATACAATTTTATATTTACATTGCAAATCGTAATTGGTTTTAATTAATTTAAAAATGGATGCTATGCTGCAAAGACACTGCGCTCGATTATATACATAGTCCCAGAAGGTTTGAGGGAACTGATGTCGGATATTTCTAGAGAAGTACTTTTCGTCTCAATTATATAGATCTTTGTAATCTACCAAATTTTATTTGTAAACCGACATTCTAGGTGTTGAGATCGCAACCCAATGAAATATATACGTTCATAGCAGACTATTTGGATGCGTTGATGATAACCAGAGAGAACGCTCGAAGTACATTGAATCTCCAATTTAGAAACTATTATTAAGTATTCTATTTCAGTTGCGATAAAATTGGTGGAGAGCATCACCGAGATAGCTGAAGCCACTGTACAAACGTTGTTGGAAATTGGAGTATCAAGAGAAGACGCCGATGAAGTTGTTGCTATTATTCAGAAACATTTCAGGGAGCACGCAGAAATTAAAAGGTTGCACAAATTCGATGTATTGGAGCACACCGAAGGAGGTAAGTGTATCATGAAATGTTACTAATGTGTGTTTAAATGACGAGTTTTATGAGATATGGGTGAGGAGGATATCATAATCGAACGGATTCTGGCTGAGCTGAATATGACTATGGAGCAACTCGAGAAGATGGTGATTATAATACAGACTGCCTATAGGAAGTTTAAAGAGAGGCAGGAGCGAGAAAAGCAGTGGCTCTTCGGAATGGTTGATTGGAGGATCGCAGCTAGAAGTGCTATAGCTTTGTACCGGAAAACTGGTGTCACCTATTACGAAGCGAATAGAGCTGCGTCTTTGATCAAAGCCGCTTACAAAGGGTACTACACAAGGCGCGTGATGAAGCGGTTGTTGCAGCAAGGAATTGCTGATGACAGCATAATGTACGACGAAATATCATGGGAATTGGAAGAGAATAAGTACGTTTGATAATCAATTTAAATAATAAATTGTAATGTGTGTCTTTTAGGGAGTTAGACGTAAATATGAATATTAGAGTATGTAAATATTTTTTTTATTACAACTCACTACTTAGTATTCCACGGCATCCTCGAGAATCACCACGTTGGAATTGGAATATCAATCGGATGAAACTCTTGCGACAGAAGCTATGTACGATACTCTACCGATTTCGCCATACACCGATCAAACGCAGCCCGGAGAAGACACTCTGCCTATGGACGTAGAGCATTACGTTTATAACGTGGATGAAGATCACACTTTGTACATGGAGGAAGGGCACGGTGATGAACACCACGAAATGCAGGAGCATCATGAAATGGAGGAACATCACGATAAGGTAGAACACGAAGAACAAGAAATACACCATGAGGACTATGAGGAAGTGCAACAAGAGGACGAGGCTGAAATTAACGGTATAGTTCAAATATAAAATCTAAACACGTTTATTAAAAACTATAAATAATAATAATAATACTTTCTTTTAGAAGCGGAAGAACAGCCTCAAGACATTGCGCCTATGAATCCAGAAGAAATGGCAGGCGAAGAGTGAACAAATTAAACGCCAATTAAGCCTTTGATATATAAATTATCTTGCTTGGCCAAATCTGTCTTCAACTTTTTTAATTTCGCTTCTAGATCATCGTCACTTAAGTTCGCAACATCTATTCCTTTGAAATCTTCAGAACCTTGGCGATCATTCCGTTCCCTTCGTCAATTAACTTTCTTTTCAAACTGGGATCAAAATCTTTGATATATTTCATGCCTTCAACGTCTTCCAATTTTTCTTGGTATTTAGTAGCAAACTACAAAAATAACAAATTAAGCATTTTCTTTTAAAATTAATATCTAGTAGATATTATACAGATATATTAATTTTGCATAATGTTGAAGTTACCTTTATAACATCTTCTGGGAATTGTACAACTTTAGCACAGTGTATGCCGTAACTCTTGTCGCACGGTCCTTCCTTCATCGTGTATAGAGGTGTGATGGTGTTATCCGAAATAATAGCCGAAACGTGAAGATTTATCACCGTAGGAATTTCCTCTTCCAACTGTGTGATCTCGTGATAATGAGTGGCGAAGAGCGAAAACGATTTCAGTTCTTTCGCCAAATACCTAAAAATGAATATTATTATATACACATAACAAAAGAAATATTGTATATTTACTCAGCAACAGCCCAAGCTATTCCGCAGCCGTCGTAGGTGGATGTTCCTCTTCCCAATTCATCCACGATCACTAACGAGTTGGAAGTTGCGCTCTAGACATTTACCAAATGTAATTTCATTGATTATTAATTGTTCATTTGATACACACTTTGATTATTCCACGACTCTCCACCATTTCCATCATGAAAGTTGACATCCCCTTCAACTCGCAATCGTCCGCTCCAACTCTAGCCAGAATGCAATCCACCAAGGAGATTTCTGCTTCATCGCATGCAACGAAACTTCCGATTTGCGCCATCAAAACGTTCACGGCAACCATCCGCATGAAAGTACTTTTACCGCCCATGTTGGGTCCTAGAGTATAATTTAATTAGCTAGTAAAATTACAGTAAATTTTAATTAGCTACTAACAACTAATGAAAGCATAGTCACAAACCTGTTATTATTTGCAGCACCTTCTCATCTTTTATGAATTCAACATCGTTTGGTATACAGCTGATGCCATCGAATTTTTCCAAGCAAGGATGCCTACCACTTTTCAACTTTAAAATCCCTGATCCAGCTGGTAGAAGCTTAGGGCGAACGTAAGCGTTTGGTGCATTTACAGCAGCATTTGCGAACGATACCAAAACATCGACAACAGCAATACTCAAGTTAAGATTTCTTAACGTATCTACATATCCAGCTAAAATGAACATAATGATATTAATATTTGAATTATTAGGTCTGTTTTAACCCAAATTCATTATACTTATTTCCCAATCTATGGACTTTTTGTGAATATATGTAGTATATAATTGTTTTAAATCTCCATCCATTATATTAATTTAAAATCAGTTAGTAAAATAACCATTTTCAAATACCTGCGACTTCCAATATTTCAGAAACGACCGTCTTTTGTTGCTTCTCATAAGCGGATTTGATTTCTTCGTAGCTTTCGTTCAAATCTTGTAATTTGTTGTTGGAAAATCTCACTCCACCTTTAACGGTATCAATGATCTTGATGGACTTGTTTTTGCGTAAAATAGGTTCCTCCTTGAGTGTCACCCTGAAGAAGTAACCTAACTGATCGGTACGATCTAACTTGACGGTTTTTCCTTCATCAAAACACAAGTCATTGGCGACGTTGCGCAACAGCCCTTGCAGTTTCTCCTCCAGCTTCTTCTTTTGCTTGGATAAATCTAAAAAATATTCAACTACAAAGGACGGCTCTAAAGATTTATGTGAATATACCATTGAGTTCTTCATCGAAATTGGGTTTGATGAAAAATTCTCCGCGATCGACTAAATCCAAATCGATCGTTTGCTCCACCATCGATTGGAACTTCTGTAAATCCGATAAAATGTCTCCAATTGGATTCACAATCATGGCATTTACCGATTTGTTATTAATTTTTCTTAGAATTGAGATCAAAGATGGAACACTGTCTATGCTTTGATAGATCTTGTAACAGTCTTGCAGATTAGCTCTTTTCGAGCACAAGCGCTTCGCTAATATTAATAGATCTGGGATCTTGTTCAAGCCACAACAGATTATTTCGCGGGTTTCTGAATCATTCACCAGACATTCCACGATATCCTGTCGTTCGCTCAAGAGGTTTAAATCCTTCAAAGGTTGCTTAATCCATTTCTCAAGCAAACGTTTCCCTTGCGGCGTGCTGCAGCAATTCAAAACTCCGTACACACTGTCATTTTTGCCCATGTTGGAACCCGACTTATGCATCAAGTTGAGAGCGTTTATTGCGGCGCAATCTAAGCGAACGTATCTATGTGCATCCATATTCCTCATATTGTACTGATTGAAATTTTGTTCATCTCCTGTTAAGTTGAGATACTTGATAACAGCTTGCAAACTGCCCATGGCTTCGGTGTTCTTCGTTTCAGCCAGACACATAGCGTTTCTCTGCTGATTTTCGGCGAAGTACAGTAACCTATTCAGATCTTGGAAAATGTTCTCAGAGTTGAAATCGACTTTCTTGGTTTTTACCACGAGCACATTATTGCGCTCCAGCATGGACTTCAAGTTGTTCAGCTCCATGGACTCGCCCAATGGGATCACGCATTCTTTTGGATTTATTTGTGCAACGATGGCTTCCAATTCCGTGAAGAATTCGTTGTCGGTAAATTCTGAGACGCAAAAGATTCCCTCGACTATGTGTGCACAGCTGACCCCAAGCAACTAGAATTTCCAAAGAGGTAAGTTTCTTGTAGATGATAAAACACATTAATCTTACATTGTTTTTAGACAACTTAACGCCCATCACGTAACCTCCGATCAGTTCGGAACATCCATCGAAAAGGATCTCCTCGAATTGCTGAAGGTTACCAGGCGAACCCTTGTACTCTAACGTCCAATCATTGTTCCTCGATTGGCTCGCCTTCACGTACACCTCAACGCGATACTGCATAACCAATAGCAGATCTCTGATGAATTTCTCGAAATTGTTTTTGCTGAAACATGCGTAGGCCAGCTTCGGTTCATCCCCCATGTACTTGACCGAATTGGTGTGGTAGATCTTCTCCATTGCAAGGAACGCATCATTGCCGTGCAACGAGTAGTAATCTCCATGGTTAAAGAAACGGACGGTCGAGGCTGATTTCTACAAGAAAAATACATAAATCGAGAAACAGTTTTATCAGTTCCTCTAAGATGAGAATAGATATGTTGATAGTTGCTGATTGACCTATTTTCGAGCAAAGGACACGGCAACTGATAGGATTCTGGAATGAAAATATTTGAAACCACAGCACGGGTCTCTCGGAATAGTACAAGAAAAAAAAAAACAGCGGATAAACACTTTGTGCCATGGTTGATATTGAACTGTATTATCGCACGTTTTGTAAACAACTTGGATTGCCAGAATTGGTATTTATCAAATCGCATTTGCGTAGCTTATTCATGGCCGATTAAATCATCATTAATTTAATACATATTAAACAAATTACTGATTACAAGGATTGTCGAAGTAATTAAATATATTTCAATTATTCCAGCTGGAAAAGAATCCAGAGTTATTTATTAATTAAACAAATATTTTGGTTATTTACGATTTGTAAAAGTCTCCATATTTTCTTTATAAACATATTTTTTAATTCATCTTATCAAAAGAAACAAGTTATTAACAAGATTAAACATTGATTAATAAAATATTTTTCCAGTAAACAAAAAATCGTAACTTAAGCCAAGTAAATTTTAATTGCGATTTTTTCTAAATTTTATAACGAGTTCATTATCACCAATTTGTTTCTACTCCAAACTGAAACTTTTTCAATTAAAACATACCACTTCAAAAAAAAAATGATTTACGGAAGAAAGGAATAAATAAAGAATCAAAATTAATGATTTGATCATCATAATCAACTTTTATTTTTGTAAATCAAAATAGTAGCAGCTATTGTACAAAAAAATGGTGATTTTTTTAAATTTTTCAAGTGCAAGTGTACTTTATCATTGTTTAATTTTGACAAACTTTGGAGTCTTTTAAATTTAAATTAAGTTAATTATTATGAAAATTCGCTAATCATTGCGTTCACTTGTTTTTATTTTATATGTGAACTTGATTATTTAGAAATACGTGTGACATGTGCATTAGAAGTTATTTTTAAATCGCGCTAAGATGATATTAAAAAAAATGCATTTACGTGTCTGCCTTTCATCTATCAACCTGATTATGTAATGCAGATGAGATATTAGCATTATATCGTAATTTAAACAAAACGATTGTGAATAATTAGGTAATTAATATTTGTGCTACAAACATTGAAAATAATAAGATTCTTGTTTTTTTTTAATACGATCGTTTTATAACGCAGAAAACCAGTCAATCAAAAAAATATGTTACAAGGAGTCGATAATGATAACATTATGTTATTTTTTTCTTTTATATTTATTAAGGCATGTAATCCTTTGACCCAAGACGTGTATGATAGGGAATGCTCTACTAAAGTGACCTCGAAAAAAAACAGAGAATTCGCAACCTTAAGTAAATCTTATCCAGTTTTTGGTGGAAAATATTCTATTACGTTACCATAGATTTACGATGGAAATTGGGAAAGAGGGATTCCCTCGGCTTGTGTCCCAAATATAAAAAAATAAGAGGAAAATATTACGTAGAAACGATGGACTTCTTGGTAACGGAGATGAGCACGAGTGGGGGGACGACTTCGCAAGATAAAGATATTTAAGCAATTTTGCTCTTGCAGAGTTATCAGTTTCTTTCTGCTCGTGCAACTTTAAACACTGACGCAATAAACACATGTTTTCACAAGTAAGTAATCAGTTGGCTTTCCAATAAATAAATATGTTTGCTTTGCTATAATTTTTTTTTAATTGGATTCAATTATATTTGATTGTGGGTTTTCTTTTAAGGAATGAGAGTGTTAATTATACTTTGTACAATTTTTGTACTAACTTATGGGAAACCGGAAGGATATTTCCAGCAACATTACCAGTACAAGAAATCGTCGTCGACTTTTAAGAACAACGAACTGCAAACCAAAAATGACGATCAGGGTTACTATTCGAAGCAGGGTGATTTAGAGAGGCAACATCAGGCTAAAGTGGACCAAGGCAATGAACGTTCCGAGTTCATAAATCCTTCCGTCGATGGTATGGGACACACTGTTACCACTTTCAACGATAGGGATTTGACTTCGGAAGCGGAGAACGCGTTTAACAGACACAATTTGAAACCAGGTACTTCAGGTTATAATGCTTATTCGTCGTACAGCACGAACAATTTGGCTGGGCAAAGTGGACACAGAAGCAGCAATCCGACAACATACAGGATCCAATCGAACTTGGGTCAGCTGTGTAACAGCGTGGAGCAGGATATATCTAGGCAAATCCAAGAGGCGGTTTCAAAGTCTTCGTACTCGTCATATTCTGCGAGCCAAAATCTTAGGTACCTTGAAAGTGAACTGAAGTCTAACATCACTAGGAAATTGCAAGAAGCATTGGATAGGCAATACGGAAGACAGAGTCAACGCGGTTCATTTTCGTATACCTTATCTTCTACCGGCTCATACAGCCCTCAAGCCAACTACGAAACGCAAGAGTTAGCGGATTTGCGTAAGCAAATCGAGAACAACTTATTGACGAAACTACGCAACGAAGTTCAAACTTACAGCGAAAGCAACTACCAACAGAGAAGCGACCAGAACAGTTATGGCTATCGCGATTCTGCTGAGATCGAAGATTTGAACAGATATCCTTCTCGCGGACAGCAAACCGAAGAACCAACTTATTACACGACCCAATATCCGGAGAGAATTACGCAGAGCAGACCAAACGCTCATTCATCTAGCTATAGCAGGGGTTCCAGCTATTCCGGATCTTCATCTTATAACACACAATATCAACCAACCTACACGGTTCAACAAACAGTTCCGGTACAGAGGATCGTAATTCAGCCATCCATCAGCATAACAGACCTTGCTAGCCAGGTTCAACACGATCTTTTTACAAATGTAAACGATAAACTTAGAGCGTACCAGAAATCATTGACTAGCAGCGCGTACACTTACACTAATACCCGTCCAGATTTCAATGCTAAGCTCCAAGAGTTTAAAAATGAATTGATTAACAATATTACTATTCAATTCTATGATAACATTGAAAGAAACCTCGGAAGGCAAGTTACAAAGGATGGCTATTCGTTTAGTCAAGGACAGACTACAAACGCAAATTACAGAATTAAAGATTTCGAAAATTTAAAGAGCCAGCTCCAGGAAAACTTGGTCAATCATTTAGAAAAAAGTTTCAAGCAGCAAGAAGAAAGTTACCTTTCTAGTAAGCAAACCAGCAGCAGTTCCTACAGTAATTTGGGAAGGAAATACGTCCAACATGGTCCAGCTTATTCCCAACATTTGACCAATGAACATGCTGGAAATTCAGATTATTACAATCGCCCTACGTCGTACGTACCTAGAGATTCGCAAACAAGCGAAAGCTCCTCCTCGTACGCATCCTCTTACAATCAACAGAGCCAGTTACAAGATATCAGAAACGAAGTTTTGAAGGATTTAGGGCAAGATGTCCAGTACGCTATAATCCCATCTCACAGCCAATACAGTCAATCGGAAATTGATCGTTTAACCCAGGAGTTACAGAGGAATTTGACGCTTAGGTTGGAGGAATCTCTGAAGAGCCATTACGGTAATCAAGGTATGCGCAACGGCTATTCCTACACGATTTCATCGTCCGGATCATTGAATCCTAATGCAAATTACAATAGCCAAGATTTGCAATATCTCACCCAGCAATTGCAAAAGGACTTAGAAAGACAATTGAACGAACAGATTAGTCGGCATAGCCAAACTTCATCTTACAGCCAAACGTCATCGTCGTCATCTTATAATTCAAACCCCAGCTATCGCAAAGGCTATTCGAGTTCCGGAAACAGAGAGATGAAAAGAATGGAATCGTACGGACAACAACATTATTGCGATGATTGCATGCAAGGGGACCAGCCATACTCAAAGCACGACCATATGGGACAAATGCAGCAAGACTATGAGTATGGTGATGATGATGCACAACAACAGGTACAAGACATAGAACAATGGCCGATGAATAGCCAATATGTAAAACCTCAAACATCATATGTAGGGCAGCAACCTGTCGACTACGAAGATTTGTCACAGAATGTAGAACAATTTAATCACCACTCTTTTAACCAAAAAATAACGAAGGACGATGTTTACAATAAACTGGAAGTCGCTACGACAACAGTCAAACCAAAGATCGAAAGGACTCCAGTTCATTTCAACAGCTATGAACCTTTGCGCTTGGCCAATGCTCAGGGAAAGCAATACAACAGGGGTGACCAAGTCGATGAAGAAGGACAACGTGTAATGGATGAGGATACAGTAAAAGTGCACATTGGTGGTCAATACAACCAACTGCCCCAGCAACAACAAACCGTAGAAAAACACGTCTCTACACCATTGCAAACAGTCAACTCGTTAGGCGTTAATTACAATCAACACAGTTACGAGGGCCAGCAAACGGTTGATTATGAAGACGCAGACATGTACCAGCAACATATGGATAGACAACAAGTCCAGAATTTCGATAATAACCCATTCAGACAATTTCAAGTCGGCAGTCAAATTAACAAACATCCCGAACAAGAAATTGCACCGAGCTTTAACTTCAGTCCTTTAGAAGTAATAGCACATCAAGGGTCAAACTACAATCAAAGACAGACTACGCAGCGTGTCGAAGATTTAAACAAGTTGGATAAGCAAAAGGATTCCCCGAAAATCGATAATTCTATTAACAAGCATGAACAGCAAATCGAGGATTTTGAAGATGAACAAAGGCAAGTCACACATGGAAAATACACAGACCAAGAGTCAGACTTAGGACAAAAGGTAGTAGATTACGATGACTTATCATTTTCGAGTCAAAAACATACTGGATCCGATGACCAAGAAGTATATTCGCAAATTCATACTAGCCAAACACAACATAAACCTACAACTGATGATTTGGTACACCAAAAAGTAGAAGATCCTAAATTGGAATCTCAAAACAGACGATTCACCGTTAACAAACCAAGCTATTTTTACGGACAAAAAACAGAAGACTTAACGCAAGAAACGGAAGACTTAACACAAGAAACCGAAAACAACAACAGACAAAGAGTGAATGGACACTCATACTTTGGAGACCATTCACAAGATTATGACGATCAGCAACAACAACAACAGGTACAAGAAGATTATTTCACTACACCCAAGAGCAGTGGCTCTATTAGTTTAAGTGATGCCCATAACACTTACATCAGGCAATCGCAATATCAAGGAGCATCTAGCTACAATCAATTTGCACATGTTGAGCAACAACAAGAGGAGCAGCAGCAACAATTACCAACCAGATACATAAATCCTGCTGTTATGCACCACTCGAATTCCCATGAAATTAACCAAGTACAACAGGTGCAGACACACCACATTCCAAAATTGGAAATACAATCTGCTAAAGTTTTAGAGGACCATAGAAACGGCAACGGTTACAATTACGGAGTTGCTTGGAACGCACAAAATGAGTTTGAACAAGCTCAAGAATTTGATGTACAGAAAATAGAAAAGCAAAATGCAAAGCAATTGGAGGGTCAACATGCTGTCAGTGGTTACAACTATGGAACTTCTTGGCAACCCAGGGAAGACTTTGAACAAGTTCAAGAAATGGATGAACAGAAATTGGAGAAGCAAACTGCTAAAGTTATGACCAGCTATGGTGCAGGTTATGGAACTGCAGAGGAGCATGAACCAACTGTTGTGGATGATACTGTGGAAGTTGTCACAGAGCCTGAGCAAAAAGGATTCTGGAAGAAAGTCGGTGGTGGCATCACCAGTACTTTCAATTCTGCCAAACAGAAAGCTAAAGGTTTAGCTGAGAAGCTGAACATTCTCTAATTTACTACAATAATGATTTTATGAACTGTTGACCAATTTACCAGATTACTTTTTAATTTATATATATGAAAATAATGTATTTATAATCTATTGATTTTATAATAGAAACACAATTAAATTTACACGGTATTATTTTCCTTTCAACTATTTAAACTAGACAAAGCACTTACCTCCGGCAAATTGTTGTAGAATCTTATAAAGGCAAGTTGTTGATTAAAATCTGAAGAGGTTACAAGAAAATAATTATTAATAATAAGACAACAATAAGATGACAATGATTTTTACCAAAACTAAGGGCACGGGTAGCCTCCGATTTGCTCATATTAACAATTGTGTATTAAATTTGAATGTAATTTATAAGCAAATACTGTGAAATTCCATACCAGAACTGAAACTTTGGCGCGCACAAAATGCGAATCTAATTTATAAACATGAAGTTGGCAATAAATTGCAAAGTTATAAAATTATAAGTATTACATAAGATCGGTTTATTTTCTGTTTCTCATTAGTGCATTAGTGTTCTTATTTCTTTTTAATAAATCTATTTTGAACGAAACTGTATTCTATAAATTATAATTATGGTGTTTTATGAAATTCCCTAGTTTTATGTCGACCAAAGGCAACTTCAGTTAATTCTGCTGTCAGATTAAATTGTATCGAATTTAAGCATTTATTAGTGAAACTATAAAATTAACAAACACAAAGATGTCTTTAATATCTTCCAATGAAGCCCCTAACATGCAGCAGATTGATTTAACGTCGTTAAACATCCAGCAGTTAACGACTTTGAAACAGCAAATTGATCAGGTACATAACCTCAAAGATTCTAGCCTCATGAGATTATTACTTCTTTTTCTATGCAGGAATTGAATCTGTTTCAAAACTCTTTGCATCACCTGAAATCGGCACAAGGGAAATTCAATGTTTCCGGCGAGTGTCTAGAGAAATTCACACCCGAATGTGAAGGAAAAAGCATTCTAGTCCCATTGACTGGTTCTGTATCCTTATATGGTCATAAATTCTTCTTAATATAGATTTTTTGTGGTGAATTCCTTAATGATTGATTTAGATGTATGTCCCTGGTAAAATAGCTGACACCAAAAACGTAATTATTGATATTGGAACCAGATATTATGCTCAAAAGGTAAGATAAAGCATTGTCTTTAAAGTCAATTGTATTTCAAAGTAATGGTTTTAGGATGTGAACGATGCGAAGGATTACTTCAAGAGGAAAGTTGTCTTTGTGACTGAGCAAATGGAAAAGATCCAAATGCTTGGTTTAGAGAAGAGCAAGATCCGAGATGCTATATGTGAAGTTATAGAAATGAAAATCCAACAGCAAAGCCAACAGGCTGCTACAGTTAAGAGTTGAGAATAGGATCTATTGGAATGCTTCATTAACATTTTTTTTTGTCTTTTCTTTGGTTTATCACCTGAGCTCCACTCAGTTCACGCTTTTAAAAATCATACAATAAAGTTCTTAATTTATAACAAATATTTGTATTCATTTATTGTGCACTAATAGGTATATACAAAGGGTCCTTATAATTCACAGTCTACAAAATCAAACAATCCATGTTAATAGCATTAACTAGAAATTGATTAAAGCTATTGTAATTAGATCTGATTAATAACAAATAAACTTTTATTTATGAATTGAAAACAAAAAACAATTCGTGTTTTAAACCTAGAATTGTCTGTATAGTACAACAAGTAAATAGTTAATGCTATTTCGTTTAAAAAATCACATTCAGTATATAATACAAAGGTGTTAATGAACGAAGGGCATCAATAGAAGACACAGTCTTGATATAGTCGATTGCATTCAGAGAGATTCGTCCGCACAAAACAAAAAACTTAATAATGGTCAAATAATCAACATTTAATATTTTCCTACACACATTCGTCGATTTTTTTCCGCTATATTTCGATTTCGCCTTCTTATTTATATTTTTCTTTATTTATTTATTTTTGTATATGTTTATTTTTTGAATCCATGAAATTTGCAATGGAGAGAGATGTGGAAACGAGATGTTTCCTCGGCTCGTTCATGTTCTCGCCTTATGTGAAGATTCTTAGAGTCAACGCCAAGAGAAGAATAATTGATCCAAATGTATCTGAAACAGAGAACGAATACATTAATCAATAACATATTGGAAATACATAAAAACTACACGAATCCTTTTATAACTTATTACATTTTTATAATTTAAATAATCTCAAGTACTTAAAAATATTACTATTTTCTTAAGGTAGTGTGAAAAATGGGTTTTACGATCATTATTGGTATACAAATGTTGGAAATAAAAAAATCAAAAATTGTAATAAATAAAAGAGCAAGAGAATTATTGATATTTCATCTGAATCTTTTGCTGATTGTACGTTAATCGAATGATAAATTTCCATTTATGATTTTTTGGTACATATGTCTCTTCGTTTGCACCAATATCTTAGACATGGATCGGTTACCAAATTTTAAGATTATATCTGGCATAAATGTTTATGTGAGAAAAAATAGTGATTAATTAGTGATTCTTTGATTCGATTAAAAGAAAATCTAAGATTTTCAATATGACAATTATATGAAGATGTGCTTATTAGAGCTCAATTTGCTCGATTGGTTCGATTTCCAAAACACAACAAAAAATTGTGGTGGCTGTTAAACCCGAAAGGGGTAGAAATAGGGGCGAAAAGATATATCAATCAATAAATTGATGTTAATCTCTTTGAATTTAAGAAAAAAAAAATGATCTAACCGAAATAATTCCTAAACTATATGCAATTATTTATTTTAAATTAAAAGTGTTAAATGTTTTTTTTACGTATATAAATGGTAAATATTTAAAAATAACCTTTAGGTGATAATAAATTTGTTTCAATTTGTTACTTCTCTCTTTGGAGAGTTTTACTATATTTATTAACATTTTCAAACAACAATAAAGATTCAAGCATGTCTATTAAGAACTGTGCTAAACAATAAGTAGGAGTTGTTTTGCTTGCCCTTAGTCTTGTGTATTGTACACCAAACCGTTTTCTTTTACCAGAGTTTAAACTTATAAGTTCCAAGATGCCATAATATACTTACCACAATGATTTTTTTTTAATATACAGTAGAACCTCGCTTAACGAGTTTAATCCGATCCAAAATTTCCGGATTTTTACATATTCAAAAATACACGTAATATGTGTACTTGACAATAAAGAAATAAGTAATAATTAACTGTGCTTGAACTGAAGCTAAATAAATAGAAGTTACAGAAGTATTTTAACTTTCTTTCTACTTATTATTCTTAAACTATTGGCGAGGTTGTCATCATGTTACGATTTGCTGTAAACAAAATACCTTTCAACTTGGTCGCAGCGGCTGGAGCGTCCGCAGTTGCAGTGTACGTTTCAACTTCGTCCATGAAATGATAAGTAGCATTGAATCCGGTTCCATCCAGTCTATCGGTGGACCGGAAGGTGACACGGAAGAATTTTCGTTTAGATTCGATGTCGAACTCCTTCAGCTGACCACAATACCTCGGGTACTTGCGATCACGAGTCATGTAATTCGAGAACTCTACGTAATCGCTATCCGAAGCTGCCTCACACCTATATTAAAAAAAAGATATAAATTAATAATTAATACATTATAAAATTTATTATCAAATTTTAGTTAAGATTTAAAGAAATTTCGGTGATTAATTTAATAAAATAAATGTGGTAGGTACTAGAAAATTTCGAGTAGTGTGAAATCGTGTGATGAAGGACTAAGATTCAATTCATACTAGAATTATGTTTAAAATTCTAAGAATTCGCTGGTTACCATACACTCAGTTACTTGTGTCTATATGCATCAAATATGACGCACATATCAACATTTGGAATTAATGTTTTTATATAGAAAATTTGTAATAAAACTTTTCGCCAAGAAATACACAACTAATAGTTATTGAACTGCTATGCCAAGTTAAGACAATTTGTAATCAAACGGAAATTATCAAAAGAATGAATTTTCGTATCTTATTATGTGAATATACATCGTGTTGTAAGAGTTTTGACTGTATGTAGTAAAATCACTTGTATAATATCTCATGTAGTAGTATATATTAATATATTAGTAATGCATCAAAATGTAGATCAAATAGGTAGGAATCATTATTACTTTATAATTTATGTCATTGGAATTTGAAAATATCTGATTAGATAACAGATTACTTCGCTTCTTTCGTTGAAAGTTTATAAATATTCCAATGCTTACGGTAAGACTCCTTCGACGTCGAAGTAGTTGAAGTGGAGATGGATCTTTTCATCCTGATTGCCGTTGAAGAAGTAATGGCACTCGGTGTCGCGGGGATAATAACCGGGATAATTCGGGCTGTGGAAGTATCCGGTCCGGCTTACATTACTATTAAAGACGAAGGCACATGGGTAATCCGGTAGTTGGGATCCAGTTTTAATGCCGAAATCTGCAATGCGGCGAGAAATTAAAATGAATAAGTGATGGACTGCGGACGGACACGCAGCATCCCGAAGACATACTTTCGGTAAAACTGAACTGGGCCTTGAAGCCCCTAGAGTAGCGCGAAGAAATTACACTGTCAAACTTCAGGGTGAGTCTTGGTCCGTTCGACATCATCGGCTTTGGCATTGTGTTGCCGCAGAAGCTGTCTATTTTATCATCCCTTCCATCTATATGCACGAAGGCGGTCAGCGAATCGTGGTTCTCGCATCTAAAAGAAAATATAAACACGCATTTATAATTTGCAAATTAAGATAAACCACATTTTAGGATGCACATCAATAATACAAAATAAGTATAAGACACACTCTTATTAAAATAAAATTCTCTTCATAAATTGATGTGTTTTGAGGTAAAAACTAACGATATATTTGTCATAACAACAAGTCCATAGATTGTATAGACCTATAAACCAGGGTATAAAGTATTTACCATAATTTTAGTAATCCTGAGGTTAATATTTATTTTTTTGTCTTATGAGAATGAAATAGTAATAGTTGTAACCAGTGGAGGTTGGTGACAGTAGAAACAGGTTTAGTCAACTAAGTTATCAAAATTATTGCTTAAGTAAATGCGGTTTCGAGAGCCGCATGCGGCTCTTCGTTTAGTCAAGTGCGGCTCCCATTAAAATGTTAGTTTATATATGACTTGTGACAATATTAAAATACAAATTTTTGAATTTGTGTATCTACGTGTGACTCTTTATAAAATATAAAAAAAACGACACTCTTTGGCCTCATGAGTGCGCACCCCTGGTATTAGTTGTAATGTAGTTTATAGTGTTTGGTCCATTTTATTTGCTAAATACTTACTGTTTAGAATCATCGGAGGGATGATACAAGTTAAAATCTTGGAAGACAATTTGCACTCGCTCCTTGCCTCTGCCTTGGAACTCGTAATGGCAGGTGGTCCTCGAAGGATACGGAGCCGGGTAATTCGGACTGGAGACCGTGCCATTTTTCAGGACATCGCTGTTATAAATAACGTCGCAACTGGACCCTGTAAGCAAATAATTCATACTTAATCCAATCTTGGAGACTAGGGAATAAGAGCTTGTGGAGGCAGAGCGGGACACTAGTTTTTAATCAATCAAAGTGCTAAACGACAAATATAAAAAGAGTAAAGAACTATACTTCTGCCTCCGCTAATTCGCTTAATAATTGCATTGGAATCAGACAATTCGTGGTGATCCTAAAATACGTACACACTACAGTTCGGATTCATTGCACATCAACGGAAGATCAATTTAGATGGGAAAGGCAACAATGACACACGTATGTACGAGCACGAGGCCAGGGTTAATTAAAGTAGATGGTATTCAAAACGTTGTTTAGCTCTGCAATATTCCGCGACACTCTAATATGCATATGCAGGGGTTGGACATACACCAAAATGACCCAATTACACCTTTATTCACACACACACACATACCGACCGGCATTCAAATTGAACATCAGCATCAACAGCCCTCACGCAAAAAAAAAGATGTTAAAAGCTGACACATTGGCGTGACGAAATTGCGGTAGTTTCTGATAATTAACTTTTGGTTTGTACACATTTATCTTTGACGGTGAATTATAATTACTATTTAATAATTTCTACCATAATTTCATAAATTAATATGTAATACTTCCTATGAATATGTATCATAAGAAAAACATTTTTAAAATAATTTGCGTACATGAAACAGATGAAATTTTTCTAATTATAAATATGTTCCATGGTCTTTAATTACAATATAAGAAATCATTTCTTTAAAAATGTTAATTAATTTTATGGTGAAGCAGATTTGTTAAGTACAACATGTACAACGTGTTGTAATTAAACAGATCTGTCCAAATCCATTCTGTTCTTCATCAGTGTTCGTTAGAAATAAACATAAACGTGTTTTTGCTTCAATAATTATGTAATATTGATAATATCTCTTTAATCTGTTTTATTAATTGTAACTTCTGTCCTCTCCAAAAAGTATTATATGCTGTTATTCTTTATTTACGCTTAATCGAGACAGTCGCTTATTAATCGCAAATCATAGAAAACGGAAACAAAACCGAGCAAATAATAAATAGAACAACTTCGGATATTTGGGCGATCCGCTTAAATATACTAGTTCCGATTAAGCGGAAACGACTGTATATACATATAGTATTATTTAATGGTTTTCACACAACTAAAAACAATATTAATTATTGGTTATTATAATATTCTCATTTTGTCAAAATAATGTAGACATAACAATTGATACGTAAAGAGATATTATAATAAGTTGAAAGAAAGGTCAGTGATAAGATTGATAAAAACTGAAACGTCATTGAAAGATCTACTACAAGTTGCAACAATTCAGTTGCAAGTTGTTAATTAAAAAATAATGTCATTGCATGTTACAATAAATCATTCATTTATTTCATTTTTTTGCTCTGTAATTATTTATGAATGTGTATGGTTGTTGCAATCATTGTTGTTATTATTTTTATATGAGTAAAACAGTAAACATGACATGAATAATCTGGTTAGCAAAAACTTTGTTTTCAAAGCTAAAAATGTTTTACCATTTTAACCACAATATTTTTACTTTTTCCTCCGTATAGCAAATGTAAATATATTAATATGCACAATATATATTTCAACAAATTCTTAAATATGTCTTCAGCTTCTATAATGATGTCTCATAAATGAATAATATATAATCTAAAATATCTTATTGTAATTTAATATATGTAAATAAGCTCTTGCATCTAATATAAAGTACAAAACCAATCTATACTTTGAAAATATTTGAATCAATATTCAAACTTTAAAATTTATTAAAATATTTTAAAGAATTTATGTACTTTTTTTGGTATGTTAAGTAATTATAATTTACATTCATTTACAACAATAATAATAGTTATTGAACATTGGACTTTTGTTTAATTTTTATAAAATTTTTATGTAATTTATGTTCTTTTTTATATTCTGACCAATAAATTATATTTATTTAATCATTTGAAATAGTAAGTTGATTTATAACAAAATATGAAAGCACAGTTTATTTTGTATGTAGTAAATATATTTCAATCAAGCGATGTATAAAATCCTTTTCAGAGGCGCCAGTGTAAATTGTATCATCGTATAACTACATCTATATATAAGAAGGAATGTATTTATAAATCCTCGAAACCTTTATAAATAACGATAAATCCGATTTCGTACAGCCCTTCGGTAATCTTGCGCCAAGTCTCTGATGGTGATTGGTAGTGCGAAAATTAAATTGGGTCAAAATGTGTATCATCTATCTATATATCTAGAGAAAAAGAGAAATAGAGAGAGAAATAGTGTCGTTTTCTTGATAAAGCGAACCTGCAACAAAACCCCAGGTGTAATGGTCCGAGTGGGCGCAAAACATTGCCCTAAGAGGAGGCCATGCATCGAAATCAGATTATCACCTTCCACCTTCCTCTCTCCTTCCTACAGGTAATTCAATAGAAGATGCTCTTAAGTGACGACGGCGAAAGAAAGAAGGAACAAAAAGCGAAAAGAAGTGGAATCAAAGCGAAGAAACATTTACATTTCGATATTGATTTCTCTCGTTAATAGAATTATCTTCTCGTACCTTCCGTTCAATTAAGAGCCAATTTATAGTCTTTTTTATTGTATTACAGTTAAAGCAAGAAGTGCAAAATCGTAATTCTTAGATTAACAGACTTCAGTTGTTTAATATTGATTTATTTTAAAATTGTTTTTTGGTACATGATTATAATAATAATAGATAAATGTTTCAGATAATTGACAACTCAATAATTTTAGTTAATGACTGAAGTGGGATATTTTCAAATTGATAACAGGGGAGACTTTCAAATGTTTTTAGTTGATGACATGGAAGTAGATCAATTTCTTCTAGAACTCAAGCAAGCGGCTCCTTAGCCGTGGGTTACCGACCTTTATTATTGTAAACCTAACAGTTAGGTTAGGTTTGAATATAATTTATTATGTAGTATACTGAACTTTTCTACAAGTATAGTTCCTAGTAGTATAGGAGTTTCCATACCTATTTCTTTTGAGTAATTATATGAATCCGCATGTTAACTTGAATAGGTATTTTTTTTATCATATTATTAACATTTTGGGATTAGATTAATTCTGAAATATAGAATTTCAAATTTTCAATTTCGTGGTAGAAAATTATCCGGCAGAATGCCGAATATAGATATAAAACGAAGGGTAATCAAGGTATTGATGCATGGTTATTGGATGGAATTATTAAATACAGAGCTATGAATCACGCCTGCCGCTGAATTATAGCTTTATTTCAATGATAGTCACATATTGGGCAATTGTGAGATGATTCATGCGCTTTGTTTGCGCAAACTAAAAGTTCGAATTTGCGGCTAGTTTCTTTATGAATGTCGAACGTATTAATGAATCAAATTGCATTTAGACAGTTTTGACTTAGTGCAAACGTGTGCAGAAGTACGGCGAATCCAGTCGGACGAAAGCCGAGTATCATCCTGCAAATCCCAACTGAACTTTGCTCCTCGTTTATGTGGGGACCTGGTTGTACATCAAAGCATCCGGCAATTGCCGTTATTGATTCTAAATTATTTCAATTCATCATCATATTTGCCGGGTGATTGGCATCCATTCGTACGTATTTGATGTCAATATTACAAATTTTTAGATCAAGGAAATATTTGCAACCTATTTCCTATAAATTTATAGTATTGTTACAAATATTAATTTAAGACTTATACATTAAAATCCATGATCAATAATCCTTTGCTATAAACAAACCAAAAATAAATAATTTTTATTACAAATATAATTTTGTAATGCTAATTAATTTAAATTTTAACAACAAAATACGATATATTTAAGATCATAAATGAATTGCTTTGAGTACAGCTGAGGTTCAGCACATTTCCCTTGTTGTTCTAATTGGACTGACAATGCTTGGACAAGAAAGACACGATATATTCTCATCCTATTTACATGTTGTTCAATACCCTTACATACAATGCTTCCTTCATTACTTTCACAGCTAGAACGCTATAGTGGCATTCTTTTCCTTTAATTATTAGCATTTGCAGGTGGATCTTTAGCGCTGATGTTCACAGCTACTCCCAAATATGCGCTTTCAGTGCATTCGACAAAGCCAACTAAAGTACTTAGCTAAAACAAACAAGTGCGCTCTGCAGCTGTGCAAAAAGTAGTACAAATACCAATTGCTTACAAAAATACTAATATAGAACAAACAATGTAACAGTGTTATTTTTTTTATCCAAATTGATTTTAGTTTTATGCTGCCTTCATCTATACTCTAATTGACATGAGACATAAATGCATATCAGGTTTACCAATAACTTTTGACTATTATTGATTCCGTTGTCTATAAAAATTGAAAAAGAACTGCATTTGCATCAGTTGCTACTTATTTCAAACATTACCTAGTTATTACTGATATTACTTTGCAATATGAAGTATGAAAAAAAATATATTAGTGCATTAGTGCAGAGTTTTTCAACTGCTTTTTTTATATTAAATTTATTATTGTATTTTATTTATACTGTACCAGTAAACGCACAGTTTGGACCAAATTATTTAACTAGAATCTTTAATTACATACTCAGATCTAAAAAATATATGAAAATGATGACTTATGTAAATAACTGCAAATATTTATATGTTTTTAAGAAATTTACGCTGATATATCTCTTTTACTTTGAAATTAATTTTCAGATAAATTTTACTTTGTTTGTTTTTTTTTATCTACTTATAAGAGATAATGTAATCATTTTCATCATCTTTATTATTTATTGCTTTACAAATACTAAAGATGAACAGTGATAATTTTCAACTAAATTTACCATTTAATATTCTTTCTGTGTTGATATTTTGCAAAGTATTATAATTGAAATATTTTCATAAATCAAAATGAACTCAACAGTATTTGTTTATATATAGTTTGTATGCATTTATTTGAGAAATGGATATTACATTTTTCAAATAACTTAAATTCATAAATAAAAATAGATCAAAACATTCATCAACGTAAAATCGAAACTATAATTGCAAATATCGTATGTTTTGAATTTTTTTAATAAATTCACATTCGTTGTATAAAACTTAAAAAAAAATAATATTGATCTGATTTCTTATTTTCTATCAATTCTACAAATATACAAACGACTATAGAAACTATTATTTTTTACTAGAGTAGGTACTGCCATAGGCATATTTTCTAATGAATCTATTATATACGGTTTCCATTTCAATTTATTTTTTTTATGGTTTTCTTAATGTAATGTATGTAATTCTATGAAAACATCATAAAAAAAATATATTTATATAGCTATTTTATTTCCATCATAAAACTGCGCAAAAATTCACATAAAACTTTTATGTTCGCACCGAGTTTTTGTTTAAAACTTAAACATGCAATAATTAAAAGTTAGTAAAATTGAAAAAGAGAACAAATATATATATATAAAAAAAATATAATGAACAAAATAATAGTGTTAAAAAAAGTAAACACGTTTTGTTTGAAATAGTCCTGTGAACAAACCTAACATCATTTAAACGGACTAATAAATACTATAGTCAACTGTAAATACATGCATAATACCTAACAAAATAATTATATTAATTATTGAAAGATTCAATTCACGTACATTATACAAAAAAAAACTTACTTAATATTAATGAAATTTACTATAACATTTATAACGTAAACTTTTAAGTTAAGTTTTAATTAAAGAACCAATATAAAGTAGATTGCACATTATAAGATAATTGTTAATTTTATTTGACAGCAACATTTTTAATAATTAATGAGATATTCAATCAGCTTTACATAATAGGAAAACAGTTAACTTATCTAATATTATTCTGATTTAGATTATAGCATTTATAAATTATATTATTAAGCAAACTTTACTTAAAAAAATCAGCATGACTTGTTATAAGAATTATTTCCGAAATTTAAATGAAACAATAATAAAAACAACAACAACACTGC